TAGAAAATAATTGATATATACTTAAAATATTAGGTAAATATGTTTTGTGTCTTGGACTCTTGTTTGATGCATCATCAATAAAATTGTATGATATCTATGCATCCTACTATATTAATTGTAATATTTTTTTAGTATACACCATTAAAATATACATTTCCTTTGTATTTATACATTATTTGTGGCTCTTTGATCTTAAATTTAGTATTTTTGATGTTTTTATAGAATTTGTTTGTATTTCCCTAGTGTATCCAAGCGTATCCATATTTTTCATCCATGTCCATATTTTTCTAAAGCATATTTGTATCTGTATCTATATCTGTATTTGATTTTGCATCTTCATTATTAGTTTGCATATTTTTCATACATTATACCTGATAGCGATACTTTGATCCTTGGCATTATAATTTCTTTGTCCTCATCTTCATTATTAGTTTGCATCTAAGTTGATGAGCCAATGGTGAACTCAGTTATTTCTTGGGCCCTACAAATCTCTATCGTCTACATCTATGTCAAGAATGTAAATACTTATAACTAGGGGTGGATTTGAGCCAAGCCAAGTTGAATACTTGGCTCTTCAAGATTGGCTCGTAGAAATAGTGTTAGGCTCGAGCTCGGCTCGGTTTGGCTCGGATCAAGCTTGACTACAAGTCAAGCTTTTTCTAAAAACATAAAAATTATATTTAAAAGGAATTTTTTATTTTACATACAGAAAATTAAGAATTATAAAAAAATATTTATTTTGTACATATAAAAATAATTATAAAAATTATTTACTATTATTCATAAAAAATAAAAATATTATATAGAAAAATTATTGTTATATATAATAAAAATTATTTATTATATATATATTTATATGTATGTATGTATTATTTATTTATTATACTAGGATCGATTAGGCTCGCGAGCCTCATGAATTTAACTTCATTGGGCTTGAGCTTGGCTCGATTAGCAAACAAGCCTATATATCGGCCTCAAGCTTGGTTTGAAACTTGGTTTAAATCGAGCCAAGCCAAACTCGAATAGCTTGTGAGAAGCTTGGCTCGTTGCAACCCCTACTTCTAACATTCCATAATCCTTGGATTAAAAGAGGATAGTTTGTCAAGATCCCTCCTTTTCTTTCCTCATATGAAAACTCTTGAACATTATTGTTTAAATTTATTCTATTCAGATCCCTTTCTCCTAACACTTCATAAAGAGAAGCCTTGTTGTAGGTGTGGTGGTAAGGCGATGGGGGTTGGTCAAGTATCCGAAGGTCCGAAAAGGATGCCAGGAAAGAGAGCGTGTGAGAGGAAGTTCTGGTTGTAGAGGACAATGGGAGAAGAGCATAGAAGGGAGTGTGTGAGAGAGTGAGAGAGATGCTCTAACAGGCCTCCAAAGTTAGGGTTATGTGTTTGTGTCCCCCATGGGGGAGAGTTGATCTCCTTATATAAACAAGATAATGAGGCTATTAGAAGAAAATCCCAAAAGAGACCTTTCTGTATTAGGAAAGGGGATCTTTATCCTCATGTCAGCTATCAAGTGAACTCCACTAAGGTTTCGCCATGTGTCTAACGAGCCTCTTTAATGATAAAGTTTCCTTTTCCTAAGGATTCTTATATAGCATGTGTTGGCTACACCCCTTCATGGGTTGACGTATTCAAATGTCTCTATAAGACATCTTTGGGGCATTTCATCGCAGCTTGCTGTGACTGTGTAGAGCATGAGTTTCCTGTGAACATATATTGCCAACTTCGGCTTTGTTTATCATTCATCACGACATAAGCTGCCATTCTATGCTCATCGCAGGATGTTGGTAGTGTATTGAGTTCGCCACATAGTTGCGATGTCATTCTGAACCCATCACTGGTCTCGGATAGCACATTGTGCTCATCATAGGTCCGAGAAGGCGTTTCATGCTCATCGCAAGTGTAGGATGGCCTTCTGTGCTCATCGCAAGTGCATGAGCCTTACATCACTTTGATAAAGTGTCATTGTGCCATTACAAAGGTGTCCTGGTTGAGATTTCTCCGTGTAGCTTTCTTTTAACATCTTCGTCGTAGTCATGGTGATGGTAAATTACATGTAATTACACTTGTATATCCAGTTATCTACTCAGAAGAGAGTTTTATCACCTTTTCCAATGCTCCATCACATTCCATTTAAAACCAAGGCTTTAAAAACCAATCCAAATACAAAACCACTTTGGCTTCCAATTTTTGAGTTAGTGGTTCAACTATCTAGTTTGAGTGGGTCAAACAAGTAAGATTTAAAATATAGTATAACTTTGCATTTTGAATGTTAGATTAGGGTATAGGTTAAAGTTGACTATATATATACATTCTTATGAGAGGGTGAGTGTGAGACTTTGAGAAGAAGGCAGCTGGGAAAGAAGAAGAAGACGAAGAAGAAGAAGAAGAAGAAAAGTAAGCATCGCTTGCGGTGGTTGTTGCCATGTTCACTGTTATTTGTTACAACAACATTTTTCCCTAAGAAGAAGAAGAAGAAGAAGAAGAAGAAGAAGAAGAAGAAGAAGGAAGGAAGGAAGGAAGGAAGCACCACCGGTGGCTATCACCATGTTCATCACCACCATTGCAGCACGATTTGCCCTCTTCTTACATCTCTCTCATCTTTCTAAATCTCTCTCAAATCGCATATCGTACTTGCTTAATTAGTGTATCTCAGATTTCAAATATCACATCAATGTCTCATCTTTCATATCTTGTATTGAGTTTTCGATCTCTTCATTGGACTTGCAATTTTTTTTTTTTTTTGCTATTACAACCTAGAAAGAATCATAGAAAACTCAAAATCACAATGAAAAACCTAAAAATCCTAACTAATTTTGGCTATTGAGAATAATCAAACAAAATTATGAGATATGAAAGTTTTTGTCATTTTTTTATTTTTTTAGTTTCAATTTTAAAATAAATAAAAAAATTTGTAATTAGTTTTAAAGAAACTCGGGAACCATTAACCAAGTTGAACGATTTAATAGTTAAACCATGACCTAACCAGTTCTTGGGCTAAACGGTTCAACCATCCAATCAGGTCCGATTTTTAAAACTCTATTTAAAACAGTTCTAAGATCCCTTTCCTACTAAGAGACATGTTACTTTTGGCTCTATACATGCCATTTTCCCAAAAGAGTTGTCATCATGATTTGTCAAACTCGAGTTTGTTCTTGCAAGGGGAAGCAAGACATGAAGAAGAAAGGTAAAGCACTTACCACTGATTTAATTAGTGTGACTTTTCCTGTTTTAGAGAGTGTGTTGGTCTAATTGTAGAATCCCTCTATTTCCCTTGAAACTTTAAGAGTTTGTAGTAATACACTACATAACCCAATTTTCGAACGCATTTATCTATAAATTTTCACTCTAGCTTATCATAGGTTTTTCTCCATATCAAGCTTGCATCCCGTTCAAACCTATTTTCCATTTTTCTTTTTCATAGAATTGAAAATTTCATGCATTATTAAGATGTTTTCTACAATTTACACCTTTAAGATGAAAGTGCTTTGAAACGAAGATATGATTTTCTCGAGTAAAGGTCGATCTTACCTTGCCAGCTAGAATCGGAGCAATAATCTTGTAAGGCACATTGCATAAACTGATCAACCTATATATAGTGGTTTGCACA